ATTCAGCTACACTGTGCACAGGCAGGTCTGGGCTCTGAGGACGAGCTGGCCAAGGGCAGGCAGGCAGGCAGGCACGTAGTCCTTCTGGCTTTGAGCCACCAGACTCCCAGGCTTCCGGGAAAGGCAGACGGGGCTGCTCTGTTTCTTTGAATCTGAGAATATGTGGCTGGGGAAGCCTAAATTAATTAAGTGATGCTGAGGACCTGAGGTCCTCCCAAAGAAGCTCACAGAGTGGGTAGTGAACGAGGCCAGGGGAAACTACACTCCCTGTCCCAGTATTGGAATCTAAAGAGATTCATGAGCTTCATTGGAACTAAGCCTGCACTTAAGTGCTTCCAAGGAGACAAAGAAATAATAAATCAGGAGCAGGTGCCCCACCCACACACTGCCACCACCACTATCAACTTGTTTCTCCACAGAAACATGGTCATTTCAAGTCTCAGGGACCAGATTTCTCAATTAAATAACTATTGGCAAGGCCCTGGAATTAACTGGGCCCATGACCTTCTCAGAAAATAGTCCAGGATGGGCTGATACGTTCCTCCAAAGTACCACCCCACCACAATTTCCTCCCAAACTCTCCTCCACACACACACACCAGACCTCACCCAAGCACAGATGTAGGAAGACTACCCTGCCACCCCCTCCCCAAGCTCTCATACTCCAGGACTCCCTGAGTACACCACAACAAGCTCCACTTGGGTACTAGCCCAGTGTGAAAAAGACTTTATTCTAGCAGACTGAAATCACAATAGTATTCAACGGATAGAGTGAAAGGTTGTCAGCCAGCAATCACCAAGCTGTCTCTATTCGTGGAAAACCATAATAACTAGTTCCTTCAAAGTGTCAGGCATTGAGCCTTTCAAACGTTCAAATAAGTCATCTCATATTCTTCAGCCATTCTCGAGCAGGACAGCATGGTGGCTGAGAGCTGAATGCTGGAGCCAGATAGCCTGTATTTGAATCCTGTCTCCACCACTTATGAACTGTCTAACCATGGATAAATTATTATACCTCGGCATCCTTGCCTATGAAAGATAATAAGAAAGTTGGTAATAGGGTTAAATGAGTTAATGTTTGGAAAATACTTAGAGCTGTGCCTGGCACATTATAAACACTTATTTGTGTCTAACAGATAAATTCCTCCATTTACTCATTCTGCTTACATTGAGTACCAGATAGGTACTCTGTAGCAACAGTTCCTATATCTAGCTAAGAAAGGAGAGGGAAAAATGCTTTCATTTTCTCCAACAGAATTGGATGGGAAATTCTCTTGTTCCTGTAAGTTATGCTTAGGAAAAGGAGTCTCCAGAAAGTTCTGTTGAAGAAGAAGCCACAAGTGCAAGAAGACTGAGGAGCGGGGCCCTTGTGGGAGGCAGGTTGGCAAGTGGTTAAGTCAAGGCCAGAACCCTGGACAGCTCCCCGAAGGCCCATACAAGAATGGGGTTGTTCCTGCGTCTTGCCAAGGTACAGGCCCAAGCCTTTTGCTGAGGTATAGGGTGTTTATCTCCCTACAACTCCTACACTCTAGTTCTTGGGGCTGCTGAGGGACAGGTTGGAGGGGTTGCCTTCTGAGCTTGAAATTGGAGAGTGAAGAAGTTTAGGGCACCAGACCAGGACCTTCCACCTCACATGGATCTTCATTTGCCCCTCTCCCCTACACTGCCAGGATGTGACCGGCTTGCAGATGGAGTAGCAGAAGCACAATGAGGCACAGAGAATAGGGAGGCAGTGGGAGGACCACAAGAAAGGTCCCACAGCTTGGGTTTAAATCCAGGCTCTACTGCTGGGATCTTGGGCAAGTGACCCTGGTTTTCTATGCCTTGCTTCCTCATAAGTAAGACAGGGGAAATAACACCTACACTGCACCAAAACTCAGTGAGAATCAAATAAAACAGCACACATAACACCCCTGGCACAGAGTGTTTAATAAATGAGTGTTTCCTGCCATTGGGGAACAGAGGACTGGAGAGTTAGAAATGAACCCAGAGACAACTTGGCTTCATGCTCAAGAATAATCATGAACTATGCAGGCCAGAGTGCTTGGAGAAGGGGTCTGTACCTTGAAGGACCTGGGAAAGTTTCTCTTCTTTAAGATTCCACTAAGTTCTAAGTTCTTCTAACACTAGACAGGAAACTTCTGTTTTAAATCTCCCCTTTTATTCTGACAAGAAAAACAATATACACATAAATAATAATTGTTCTGTAGGCTAAAAGACTGCCTCTTTAAAAGACCCATAATGGGAGAGTCAGAAAAGGCCAGAGGTTTCAAACTCAAATGACTGGAGAGCCAGACAAATGACATAAATGTGCAAAGCCAGCTGGAAGGAGCTTGCAATGAGCTGGAGAATATGTGTGTGTAGTGACTAAAGACCTTCAAATAAAATTTAAAATAATTTTCTCACCCCAACAGAGCCCTTCTACAGCATCCATTTCTGCCCAAGAGCTGCAGTGAAAGAGCTCTCTCTTAACTCCTTACTTAACAGAGTCTAAGACTAGAGCCCAGAGAGAGGTTGTGGCTTGCCCAAAGTCATCCAGAGCCAGGCTTGCCCCCATACTGGGGCTC